TGGTAAGTTTCTTTTTTTTTTTACTTCTGATTATCTATGACTGCAAAACCAGTAAAACTTGATGGGAAAAAAAAGCAGGTTTTCCTTAGATGTTTCAAAGCAGCCAACTTTAAGGGAAACCAAAACAGAATGTTTAATTCATATCAACTATAAAAGCAATTACTCATTGCTGTTTCTTAAAATATGTTGATTTTAACTGCAAACTGAAGAGTGACTTTATGTTTCTACTTAGTCTATCCAAGTCAGCTACAACTGTTCTCTCAGGCTGAGGAGAACAATGACAGACAATAAGTATATGGGTGGTAGGAAAATGTTGAGCCAGTATGTCTTCATCGTATATGGTAGTTTCCTTTCACCATAACCTTGTAATTTTTATCTATATGATTTCCCCTTATACTTATGTCATTGTCTTCTCTGATGGCTTCTCAACTTTTCTTTTTCTATTTTTTTCCTACTTTAGGAAGGCATTCACTTTAGAAAGTGAATAAAAGAAAAATGTTTCATTAGGTCCCATTTGTTTATTTTTGCTTTTATTTCTAAAATTCTGGGATGTGGGTCATAGAGGATCCTGCTGTGATTTATGTCAGAGAGTGTTTTGCCTATGTTCTCCTCTAGGAGTTTTATAGTTTCTGGTCTTACATTTAGATCTTTAATCCATCTTGAGTTTATTTTTGTGTATGGTGTTAGAAAGTGTTCTAGTTTCATTCTTTTACAGGTGGTGGACCAGTTTTCCCAGCACCACTTGTTAAAGAGGTTGTCTTTTTTCCATTGTATATCCTTGCCTCCTTTGTCAAAGATAAGGTGACCATAGGTTCATGGATTTATCTCTGGGCTTTCTATTCTGTTCCATTGATCTATATTTCTGTCTTTGTGCCAGTACCATACTGTCTTGATGACTGTGGCTTTGTAGTATAGTCTGAAGTCAGGCAGATTGATTCCTCCAGTTCCATTCTTCTTTCTCAGGATTACTTTGGCTATTCGAGGTTTTTTGTATTTCCATACAAATTGTGAAATTATTCATTCTAGTTCTGTGAAAAATACCGTTGGTAGTTTGATAGGGATTGCATTGAATCTGTAGATTGCTTTGGGTAGTATAGCCATTTTGACAATATTGATTCTTCCAATCCATGAACACGGTATATTTCTCCATCAGTTTGTGTCCTCTTTGATTTCTTTCATCAGTGTTTTATAGTTTTCTATGTATAGGTCTTTTGTTTCTTTAGGTAGATATACTCCTAAGTATTTTATTCTTTTTGTTGCAATGCTGAATGGTATTGTTTCCTTAATTTCTCTTTCTGTTTTTTCATTGTTAGTGTATAGGAATGCAAGAGATTTCTGTGTGTTAATTTTATATCCTGCAACTTTACTGTATTCCTTGATTATCTCTAGTAATTTTCTGGTAGAGTCTTTAGGATTAAGCTTTTGCACAACAAAGGAAACTATAAGCAAGGTGAAAAGACAGCCCTCAGATTGGGAGAAAATAATAGCAAACGAAGCAACAGACAAAGGATTAATCTCAAAAATATACAAGCAACTCCTCCAGCTCAACTCCAGAAAAATAAATGACCCAATCAAAAAATGGGCCAAAGAACTGAACAGACATTTCTCCAAGGAAGACATACAGATGGCTAACAAACACATGAAAAGATGCTCAACATCACTCATTATCAGAGAAATGCAAATCAAAACCACAATGAGGTACCACTACACACCAGTCAGGATGGCTGCTATCCAAAAGTCTACAAGCAATAAATGCTGGAGAGGGTGTGGAGAAAAGGGAACCCTCTTACACTGTTGGTGGGAATGCAAATTAGTACAGCCACTATGGAAAACAGTGTGGAGATTTCTTAAAAAGCTGGAAATAGAACTGCCATATGACCCAGCAATCCCACTTCTGGGCATACACACCGAGGAAACCAGATCTGAAAGAGACACGTGTACCCCAATGTTCATCGCAGCACTGTTTATAATAGCCAGGACATGGAAGCAACCTAGATGCCCATCAGCAGACGAATGGATGAGGAAGCTGTGGTACATATATACCATGGAATATTACTCAGCCATTAAAAAGAATTCATTTGAATCAGTTCTAATGAGATGGATGAAACTGGAGCCCATTATACAGAGCGAAGTAAGCCAGAAAGATAAAGACCATTACAGTATACTAACACATATATATGGAATTTAGAAAGATGGTAACGATAACCCTATGTGCAAAACAGAAAAAGAGACTCCTATGTATAGAACAGACTTGTGGACTCTGGGAGAAGGCGAGGGTGGGATGTTTCAAGAGAACAGCATTGAAACACGTATATTATCTAGGGTGAAACAGTTCACCAGCCCAGGTTGGGTGCATGAGACAAGTGCTCGGGCCTGGTGCACTGGGAAGACCCAGAGGGATTGGGTGGAGAGGGAGGTGGGAGGGGGGACCGGAATGGGGAATACATGTAAAAAAAAAAAAAAAAAGATACACTATGGTTGTGATAAATAAATAAATAAATAAATAAATAAATAAATAAATAAATAAATAAATAAATAAATAAAAAGAAAAAGAAAAATGGAAAAAGAAACTCCCAGGCTTTAAGATAAGACATTTAGCTTCCCACTACAAATTTCTTCATGTCTGATCATTTCTACCCCTACTAGTCTGTTAAAATAATAGGAGTCATATACATAGGTTTCAGAAATATTTGATAATTATAATAAATGAACTGTTGAAATTTAAGCATTTTGAACAAATGTAAGAAGTATACACTTGTATAAGATCTTCATGTGAAATAACTTGAAACCGTGAGTCACCATCACTATATTAAACATGTACAAATTTGTTCAAAAAATGTTAAGCCCCTCAAAATAAACTTCTTAGTCAGCAGAATCAAGTCACAATTGTAAAAAGTAGGTCAGTTTTGAAATATACTTGAAAAACAGAAAAGATCAGATGGCTACAGATTATTAATAGCATTGGAAACAGACTCCTGTGATAGTAAAAATACTATTTCTACTTGTGGGAAATCATAAATACTGTTCCTACTTGTGAACTTATTTGACTGATATTTGACACAATGGGCTTCCCTTGCAGCTCAGCTGGTGGAGAGTGCTCCTGCAATGCAGGAGACCTGGGTTCGATCCTTGGGTTGGGAAGATCCCCTGGAGAAGGGAAAGGCTACCCATTCCAGTATTCTGGCCTGGAGAAATTCCATGGGCTATAGTTCCAATACTTTGGCCAGCTGATGGAAAGAACTGACTCACTGGCAAAGACCCTGATGCTGGGAAAGATTGAAGGCGGGAGGAGAAGGGGACGACAGAGGATGAGATGGTTGGATGGCAGCACCGACTCGACGGACATGAGTTTGGGTAAACTCTGGGAGTTGGTGATGGACAGGGAGGCCTGGCGTGCTGCAGTCCGTGGGGTCGCAAACAGGAGGACAAGACTGAGCGACTGAACTGACACAATAGGTGAAAATATGGTGTTAGTTAGGGCTGCTAGCAAAGAATTACCAAAAACGCAATACAGCTGACCATAAACTTGGACAGTCCTTGTGTCCAGGAGGGCACAAGGAAGTTTGTGATTCAGTAAGTAAAGTAATAACTGATTATATGTCAAACTTATGCTAGTTTAAAAATTTTGCTTTATTTTTTAGTCATATCAAATATAGTTAACAGTTTAGCTTATTCAAATAACTTTATTTCTGAAAACTGGAAGATTAACTGCGAACATGAGTATTTAAATCCTGATGTATCTTGACCTGAAGTCATGCTGATAGGTACTTTTGGCCAACAGGTGGCAGCTGTTAGGAGTCTGTAAAAAACGGGCTATGTAAATTGAGCGATTTTTGCCTTGCATTCTAAACATGACAATATCATAAGTAGTATGTAATTATTGATTAAGTTTCCAAGATAGGAAATAGCATTTTCAAGGAGAAGATAAAATATTAATTTTCCTATATAGCACCATCAAATTGTCCTCAGAAAATTTTCAGTTTGCAAAGAATGGAACCTGATTGAATTTCCCTTACTTCTATTCAGCTAGCATGTATATTAATCTTGACTGGATCCTGAAAAAACATGTCTCTCTGCTTGCTCAGGTATATTTTCATAAGGGTAGGAAAGAGATACATGTTCACAGAATTTAAAAGTCTACATGACTTTTTATTCTCATGGTGGAGAGAGATTCCTTGTGTTTTAAATTTGGGGCTTGATTTGTCTTATGGTTCATTTTATGATTTTCCAACATTCTCAGAAGAGGTAAAAACTTTAACAGTCAGTAAAACAAGAACTAAAATGATATCAAGTTACCTAATCTTAATATACAATTCTATTGTTTTGTGAACGTATAAGCAAAAATTATCTGTTTATTAAGATAGAAAATTACATTTCAACAGCTCAGTCTTGTCCAACAGGTGCTTAGTCTGCTTACCCTCCACTAAGATATTCTGTTCACGTTCACACTTGCACAGCTTCTCCTAGTGTTTAAAAGTCTACTTTCTGGGGAGACATCTATCACGATTGCCTAAGCAAAAAACCCATTCCCCTTTCTTGCAGAAGTCTCTTGGCTATGTGTCTTGTCCCTCTGCCCCCACCACTCTCATGCCCCTCACCATCCCCAAGTACAACTCATTTCTCCACTCAGGCATCCTTGATTGTGGGCGTTTGAATCAGGACTAAGCAAAACACTGTATCCCTCTAGCCATACAGAAACTGCTTTACAGACAGCTTGGTGATGCAGACAATCCTATGTTAAATATTTTATTTCTGGTAAAGCATAACTATTAAAAGGCCATGCTGTATCTAGTTCATCTGTGGGGGGAAAAGGGAAATATTTAGGGGTTCTTGGAAATCAAATGTGAAAGAGAAAAGCAAAGACTTAATGGAACAATTAGCAGTCCAAAGATAACTAACACAAAAGTGCAGAAGTTCAACGTAAGTAGTTGGAATGACAAGAAGGAAAACACTGTAGGGCACTGTGAACAAGGTCCGTGTTTCCTTTATTAAAAGAGACCTTAGAAAGAAAAGATGGCATGAAGATTAAAAAGGTAATCATGATACCAAATTTTAAAAATGAGCAAGTCAACATTATATTTATTTCCCAAAGAAGTAGTCAGATTCCACAACTGCTCATCATCTGGCCTCTTGATCAAATTGAAAAGTATGTGGAGAAGCTGGTCTCCCTCCTTAGGCTCAGGATGCAGGCAGGCTGCACACAATATGAGGGGGATCAACTCCTAAAGAAACAACAAAGGTGGAAAAAGTCAAAGTAAAAATGCATTGCAGAATATTCTTTTCCCCCCAAAGTATTCATACATGGAAGTTTTAAATGAAATAAACCTCAACATAGAGAGGAGCATATTTTTATTTTGTAAGGCTGATAATTCAAGAGAAAAACATAAACATAGTTATGGAGTGATTGTGCAGAAGGTGCACATCACAATGCAATAAAGTAACTTACAATTGAACTCACCTTGTTTTCTCATCCAATACTTCCCAAGGGTCTATTACCTTTTACACTAAGTAACATTTTATCTTACTATAAGCTAATATAGTAGTTTAAATTTTGAAAGTGCTTTTACATAAAAACTTGCAGAAGTTAGCTATATTTTAAAACCTAAAATGAAGAACAGAAAATAAAGATAACCCTTTGTACTTCCATAAGCACAGTAGGATCAGAAATAATTAATAATTTTATACCCTTAGCACCTAACCTAGTGGCTAAGTAAAAAGACCATCTTCACAGGTGTTGAAAGCTCTCCATAAAAGCATCTGCAGAAATGTTCTATTTTAAAGTGAAAATTTTAAATATTTTGTTCCACTTTCAACATACAGAGGTAAATTTAGTATTTTCAAGGAAACAGACAAGAGTTTATTTCTCTTTTACAAAGTATTTGAAAATTAAAGTTTTTTCACATTTTAATTAAACTGAGGCAAAATCCTAAAATACATTTCAAAGATATTAATGTTTTTCACTTTTGAAGTAGATTTGCAAATCTAATGAAATAAAAGCTCAAAAGTGATAAAGTATTTTTTGGAGAGAAATCCTCTAAGTGATTTTGCAGATATTTTCAAGAAATCACTATAATATAATAAAAAGGGTAGAATGATTATTCTCATTTATTTTCCCCACCTACCTCCCTACTCACCAAAAAGTACTAGCAGATTTAAATAGGAATCAATCACTATGTACGAATGCATGACACTTTGAAGAAAAGTCTACATTATTCTGAAGATGCTCCCTTAGATGATATGCTTTTAGAGAAGTTGAGACTGAAACTAAGGCATGACTAGAAGTCCTTTCCATTATTTCTAATGTCTTACATATATGATGTTAAATTAGAATTACTCGATATAAACCTAAATTCAAAGCACAAAGATGTAGATAAGAAGAGGAAAAACAAATCTGAGAAGCAAAAACAAATTTAAAACACTTATTGTGCCATCTTTCAATGGCAGCCCACTCCAGTGTTCTTGCCTGGAGAATCCCAGGGACGGGGGAGCCTGGTGGGCTGACGTCTATGGGGTCGCACAGAGTCGGACATGACTGAAGTGACTTAGTAGCAGTAGTAGTAGGTTTCAGAATAGTGAATAACTGAAAAGTGGGGAAAATAATTTTGCACTGGGAATGGAACAGTATATGTATGGATCCCTGTCTTTTGATGTTTTCCAAAGATGCTTACTCTGAGGCTTGATGGACGAGGACCATTAATACCAAGGATCCTTAGAGAACTCCACAGAGATTGCTAAGGGCCAGTGATACTAGCGAGAGGACTGGGATGACACATAAGCACATTCCACTGAGAGTAAAAGTTTAAGGATGAAAAGGTAGTTATTCTAGAAAGTACTAACAAAAAGAGAAAATATTTTAATGCCTGAAAAATCAAAAAGGTCCTAAATATTTAACTTGTACTTTTCCCTCATGGCCGATCTTTCTCTCCCATGGGTTTTCTTGCTTTCCCCTAACCCTTCTTCCTGCTTCCCAATCATCTCCAAATATTCACTCTTAAACTATCTGACTCTACTCTCTTCCTATTGCATTACTCTTTAAAGAAATAAAGTTATGAAGTGTAGGTAAGACACCGCTCTAACTGCAACCACATGCATACACCCTATGTTTAAAATACAGAATAATAGTTTGTTTCTTTATCTCAAAAACAGGTATACCAAAATAACTGTGTTACTCTTTACTTTTGGTGCCTTACATTTTCTTTTCCTTTTTTTCTTTTTTTTTTTTAAACCATGAGGCTTAGTGACCCTTATTCAAAGAGGAATTTTATGTTATACATTACTGTAATGAATCTTTTAGCTGGAATGTGGCTACAGATGTGCCAAACCAGGAATGCTAAACTCAGAGTTAGAAGAACTCCTGTCTCAAAACTCCTAAGTACCAAAGAACCCAGTGAAAACCATGAACCTCTCTGAGGTTTTGTTTCCTCAACTGAAACATACAGGAATTAAGCTGAGTACAGAAATCAAAAATACATATGTTTTATCATTTCCTTATCTATTGCTAATAAGATTGTTAATTTTCCTTTCTGAGATCAAAGCTGGCCTCAAAACCCTTCTCAACACAGGAGCCATTACCAACCAATCCAAACGAACACATAGGAAAGGAAAAAAAAAGTCAGTCCTTGTCTCCCTGAACTCTAAAATTCTGTGAATTTGGGACTTTAGAGACATGTTCTTTCACTCTTCTCAATCACAGTTAGTAATAATTTACACTGCCATCTGTTTTTATTTCTTGCTGGCTAAAATAGCAAATGTGGGAAGTCAGCGCCAATACACTTTGGTTGATACTCCACGCCAAGGAGATCTGGGGACATCCCGGCACCTTGATGGCTGTGGCCATCATAAAGCGTGCCAGGTGGCTTCCTCTTCCTGAGCATCGCTGAGCTGAGAAGAGGTCCAGAAGGTGATGGCAGGACAAAATGGAAGCTGTAGTCTGTTTGTGACAGAGCCGTCAGGACTTTAATTGCTAAGTTATGACCAACTTCAAACATCCTAATTTCCTCTTCCTCTATCATTCACTTAACCACAACTTCTAGTTATACCACTCTTCAAATAATGAATTCTGTAAGTACATTATCTGCTGTGCTGCCTATCTTACTTCTTGTAAATCCACCGTTTTCAAGCCTCTGACCTACTAGTCTATCCACAAGACTCTATTTAGGATTTTCACACTACAGTTGACCCTTGAACAACACAGGGTTGAACTGTGCTGTGGGTCCACTTATAAGAAGTGTGTCTATGCTTAGTCACTCAGTCATGTCTGACTCTTTGCAACCACATAGACTATAGCCCGCCAGGCTCCCTTGTCCATGGGGATTCTCCAGGTAAGAATCCTGGAGTGGGTTGCCATGCTCTCCTCCAAGAGATCTTCCCAACCCAGGGATCAAACCCAGGTCTCCTGCATTGCAGGCGGATTCTTTATGGTCTGAGCCACCAGGAAAGCCCAAGAATACTGGAGTGCATAGCCCATCCTTTCTTCAGGGGATCTTTCCGACCTAGGAATTGAACCAGGGTCTCCTTCATTGCAGGAGGATTCTTTACCAGCTGAGCTACCAGGGAAGCCCACTTATATGCAGATTTTACCCCATAAATATGTACTACATTACTACACGGATCTGTGATTGGCTGAATGTAAAATTATACTTGGATACTGAACTGTGCCGTGGTCAGCACACATAATCTGTGCACTGTTCAAGGAAGGGTCAATGCTACACATAAATATATAGATTTGCATCAATATTCTCCCATTGGTATAATCATCTCCAACTGAAGAAATCTAGTGTTTAAAATAGTTTCCTTATAATTCTAAATAAAATATTTAAAAACTGGCATCTAGATTTTCAGAAGAAAATGTGACAATGGTTTTAAAAATGTCTTTGAATAATAACCATGGCAAAATAATAAAGCTTTGATAAACATGATATCCAAAAAGAATCCCTTGCCTACCCTGCGTAAAAACGTTACTGAGTCCATATTTCAAAGCAACAGAAATTTTAGATATTTTCAAACATGCTTTATCAGTTAATGTGTACTGAAGTGAAATATAAAACTGATCTCCTGCTGATCTTTAGAGATGAAATCAGTGTAGTAATCCAATTACAGAAGGTATTCCAGCAGTTTCTTACCATGGACACTAGGAAAGATATTTCTAAGGCCATTACAATTCATTACTCTAAAAGACTTAGTAATCTGCACTTTACTCAAGTAAATGAGTTTTGCTTCACCTGGTTTTGAAGCCAGTGGTTTCTGCCATTTTGACAACACTAGTTCCCTCCATGTGAAGGACCTCCCACCCTTCCTATGAAATTTTGTACAGAATTAAACAGGAAAGGCTTCCAGTATTTTTCTTTCACTTTGACAAGTAAAACAAAATAAATTCTAATGATAATAAAGAAATCATTTTCAAGGTAGTAAATGTCTTCAGAGATGATTACGTTTGATTTAATGAATACTTTTACTTGACTTTCTCAGTCTTTAAAGGTTAGTATGTGTTCAGACTACAAAAACAGAAGAAAAATAGTACCTAAACAGGATCTAAAACAATGTGAGTGATCAGATGTTAAAGGGAAAATATATGAGGTAGGAAATGAGATCAGGTGCAATTTAAAATTTTAAAAAGTATGGGAATGTTGATATGATAATGACTCCAAGATCTGAAAGGAATCTAAAATACAAAAGGAAGTACTGCACTTAGATCACATGCCAATGAGGAAATGTTTTTCAGGTCAGGAAGCAGAATTCTACAATTCTAGAAAGGTGATATCAGTCCAATTAATTATAGGTCACCACTTGTCTTCATTATTCCACTGAAAATATTTCCTATAATCTAAGCTTCAGAAAATTTTAGATGGCTGTTACTAAATTTTGTTCATCTAGTCTTTTGCCTAGGAATTAAGCAATAATGAATTACAGCTTAAATTCAAATACTGATAAGTATACACCCTTTGATTTGGATTTTCAGTTGAAATTTGTCATGATGTTGGTAGTAACATACAAAGAAAAAAAAACATTACAAAGACTTACATATGGAAAAGGCAAGATTACTCACCTCTGGAAAAGTTTTATACTTCAAGGGCAGCTAAAATACCTATTCTTAGAATTATTAATATCTATAATGCCCAGGTCTCAGCCTTTATGAAGCCTAACTGAAATACTTAAGTGACTTTTAAACTCTGATACTGCTAAAGAGCATGTGATTTGCTCTGAAAATTACAAGATACACACACACAAACACAACATGAGTGAAGAAGGTGGACCAAGCTTACACAACTTACTATTTACTTTACTATACTTCTACTACTACATTACACTCATACAATTATAAATTATATTATTACTCTTGAGTTAAAAATTTACCATAAAGCAACCAAAAATGGTAATGTAAAACAGTAAAGTTTGGTTTCTTAGAAGATGATCAAGTCTTTAGAGTTACTAGCTAATTTTTAAGGCTTTTAGGGAATTGGTGCTCTCCTTTATCTTTTTTTCCTTTTATAGCTTTAATGATACACATTTTACACAACACACTCTAAAACAACCAATGGGTCAAAGGAATCACTAGGAAATTAAAATACTTTAAGATAAATGAAAAACAGAACATACCAAAACATGTGAGATGCAGCATAAGCAGAACACAGAGGGAAATTTATAGTCATAATCACCTACATTTTAAAAAAAAAACGAGATTCCAATTCAATAACCTTGCCACAAAAAGGAAACTAAACTAAAGGCCAGCAGAAAGAAGAAAATAATAAAGATTACAGCAGAGGTAAGTCCTATAGGACTTTGGGTCCTAGAGGACTGGGAAAAAAAAAAAAAAAAACAATCAACAACATCAGAAGTTGGCTCTTTGAAAGGATCAATACAATTGACAATCTGTTACTTTGACTGACTAAGAGAAAAATAGAGAAGATGCAAACAACTGGAATCAGAAATAAAGGAGAGGACATTAGTAACAAACTCAAAAATATTAAAAGGATTATAAGTGAATAACATCAACAGTGGCCCACCAACAAGTTAAATAATAAATGGACTAATTCCTAGAATCACATAAATGATGAAAACTGACACAAGAAGAAACAGAAAATCAAAACAGACCTATAACAGGCAAAAAGACTGAATCAATAATTTAAAAACCTCTAGGATCAGATGACTTTGCTTGTGAATTCTAAAACACATTTAAGGAATTATTAATACTGGTCCTACTCAACTCTTTGAAAGTACAGAAAAGGAGGAACAATTCTTAACACATTCTGTGTGCAAATCCTATAAAGAATTTCCTGTTCATAAACTACAAGAGTTAATGCTGTTTGAATGTCAATACTCCCCAAAGTGATCCACAGATTCAGTGCCATGCCTATCAAAATTCAAATGACTTTTATTGCAGAGACCAAAACTGAGCATCCCATCATGTGGAACCAAAGGGGCCCTAAATGGCTAAATGATACTGAAAAAGAGAACAAATCTGGAAGACTCATACTTCCTAATTTGAAAACTTACTGTAAAGCTACAGTAATCAAAATAGAGTGGAACGGCCATAAATATAAACATAAAGACCCATGGTACAGAATTGAAAGTGTATAAATGAATCCAAACATCTACATCAAACTGATTTTTGACAAAGGTGCCATGACCATTCAATAAAGAAACAACTGTCTCTTCAACAAATGGTGCTGGGACACCTGGGTAACTACATGAAAAGAATACAGTTCTGAACTCCTACCTCACTCCATATATTAACAAAAAACCAAACAAAAACATGGATCAATCACCTAAATATAAGAGCTAAAGGTAGAGAACTTTTAGAAGAAAACATAGGGGTAAATCTTTCTGACTTCAGCTTTGGCAATGGATTCTTAGATGGATACCAAAAACATAAGCAACAAAAGAAAAAAATAGAGAAATCAGATTTCCTAGAAATGAAAAACATCTGTCCATTTAAGGACAACATCAACTACAGGATGGCATAAAATACTTGCAAATCAGATATGAGGTCAGAATTTGATACCCAGAATTGTAAGAATCCTTACAATTCAAAGACAAACAATCCACTTAAAAAATGGGCAAAGGGTTTACTAAAATTTACTGCATGTGAGATGATAGCTCAGGGACAAGGGAAGAAAAGCTTTTATTGTACCTCTTTTCATATTCAAAAGATGTTAAACCATGAATATACATTATTTAATCAAACCTTACACTCTGTTTTTAATGCTTTATTTTGTAAATTATCTAGGATATTGCTATGATCAATCATACAAATGGACATTTTAATTGCATTCACATACCAATAAAAAGGCTTACACTGATAAAAGAACACAAAAAACTTGAGAAATAAGAAAAAACAAAAATATTAATCCTTAAATCATAAGACCTTTTAAAAAATGTAAATTTATGGAACTAGGGTAAAATATGAAATACAAGTAATCCAATATCAAAGGATAAACTCAAATAAAAGTTTTGTGCTTCTATGCCCTGGGATTAGTTTCAAAGAAAGGCAAGATAAACCTCATTATTTACCAATTTAATTTTGAGGGAATACAACTCTGGTATATTAGAAATGGTAAATTTTCTGGTAAAACAAAATATGATACAAATAATCTTTGCGACACCACAAATCACAGCACGCCAGGCCTCCTTGTCCATCACCAACTCCTGAAGTTTACTCAAACTCATGTCCATCGAGTTGGTGATGCCATCCAGCCATCTCATCCTCTGTCATGCCCTTCTTCTCCTGCCCCCAATCCCACCCAGCATCAGGGTCTTTTCTAATGAGTCAACTCTTCGCATGAGGTGGCCAGAGTACTGGAGTTTCAGCTTTAGCATCAGTCCTTCCAATGAACACCCAGGACTGATCTGCTTCAGGATGGACTGGTTGGATCTCCTTGCAGTCCAAGGGACTCTCAAGAGTCTTCTCCAACACCACAGTCCAAAAGCATCAAATTTTCAGTGCTCAGCTTTCTTTGCAGTTCAACTCTCACTCACATCCATATATGACCACTGGAAAAAACCATAGCCTTGACTAGACGGACCTTTGTTGGCAAGGTAACGCCTCTGCTTTTTAATATGCTGTCTAGGTTGGTCATAACTTTCCTTCCAAGGAGTAAGCATCTTTTAATTTCATGGCTGCAATCACCATCTGCAGTGATTTTGGAGCCCCCAAAAATAAAGTCTGACACTGTTTCCACTGTTTCCCCATCTATTTGCCATGAAGTGACGGGACCAGATGCCATGATCTTAGTTTTCTGAATGTTGAGCTTTACTTTTTCACTCTCCTCTTTCACTTTATATTTACATATATAATATATCTGATTACTGACAAAGCAAATTTATAAAGACTTCATGCAGGACAATCAGATTTTAGTGGTAGAGCTTTTTATGATTAAAAAGGGGAAAATAAAAGTTAAAAAACGGAAAATAAAAGTTAAAAAAAAGCTTAAACTGCATCTCATAGCAATTAGATTTCTATTCTATTTTAAAGATTATCTTAAGGAAACATAGTAAAAGGGATGCAAACATTAATTCATTGCACAGATTATGTTACAAGCTGAAAAAGGAAAAAAGAAGCTCAAACACCATCCTGCAAGGCAAAACTGCAAAACAATCTGAAAGTGGACACTGATCCTTCCAGACAGAAAATTTTCATACTTCTTAATATCTCACAACTATTCTTAAATTTTAGGTAAAATAAAACCATAAGTAAGAAAACAGTCATGTTTACCATTTTTAAATTAAAAGTACCTATACGTATAAAAATTATTAAAGCTTTACATATACGTTTTCTTGAGGATCAGTATAAATTTCTTGTGCTAAACAGATAATTAAGGATAAGCTCTTATGTGGGTTTTGCCAATGCATTGTGTACCTATCATACTGTAGGTCCCATGAATTATGATTAAAACCAGTGGTAAAGATTAAGAGGATAACAAAAGAAAACTTGTAGGACACGTTCGATAATATTCTGAACCAATTAAAAAAATCTGTGAAGTGCAAACTGATTTCATAAATTGAATAATTCAAAGAAATAAACTTGTTTGCAAATAAATCATTCAATATTTAAATGAGATTAGAGATAATTTTTCCTTAATCTTTTAATGGCAAAATATAACTCTAAAAAATACTTTCTATAGTATTTATGGCTTATAACATAGGCAATGTGTACCAAAATAAATCTGCTACTCTATTTTAGACATTTAAAGCATCTGTCAATAACAGGTTAGCTACAAGAAAAATGAAAAAGATACTCTCAAAAGTTATTGTAGACAATATTATAACTATCCTATTCTAAAACAAGTCTAACTACTGCCAAACAAATACAATAAAACTAACATTAATAAGAGGTATCTACAAGTACACTTAAGAAAAGAGTTATATTATTAGTCCCTATTAATGTTCAATCCCAAGACTGTCTATTTCTGTAGGCAAGTCATACATATCATATCAAGAGAGAGATCAAATAAATTAGTTAACTGGTAGAGAACAGACAGTGTTCATGGCACAGAAATGGACCTATAGTAATAGTTAGTGTTGTAGAAGCTAATGACACTTTAAGCAAAATTAGAAAACATGAATACCATGCAGTTTTACTGAACTCACCTGACAGAGGTGTAAAACCATTCTCTAGGAGCAGAGATGCATGCACAAAAGTAAGAATATGATTGCAAGTATTAGACTTTAACAAAATAAAAATATAACACTAAACTTCAAAATGATGAAAAATGGACAACATGATGATCTAGGGGATGACAGTACTTCTCTGGGTCTCACCTCTCTCTTGGCCAACAGCACATTAGGGATGATGTGCGGCAGGCAGTGCCCCAGCATTAGCATGATGCTCGTCTCACTGTCTGCAATCGGAGACACCTAGAAGACCACAGGGTTAATCAAAGACAACACTGGAGGCCTCCTGTGCGTGGTGGGACTTCAAGGCTATGATTTGGACCCTGTCACTTCTGTTTCAAACACATATTCAAAAGGACAATTTATGATGAGGAGGAAAACAAAAACAAACACCACCTGAGATTCCAAACAGGACAAACATTTTTGTAGACCAGAAATGGATTTAAAACACTAGTAAGAAGCAAGGGAGCAGACAGGGAGGCTTACTAGAGGTCAGTTCTGGGAACAAAGAGTGATAACACAGGACTGGGGCAGCTTCAATGGTTTTTAATCTTTGTTTTGGGGGGAAAGGTACCCACAAAGTCACAATCTTTGGCTAAGGTGAAAGAGTAGTTTGCATAATGAAAACGCATGCAAGGGGAAGTCCATGGGGTTACCCCAGTCTTACAATGAGAACTGCCAGACTGCATCTAAACCATTCTCTAGCTCTTTCAGATTCTTAACGACACTGTGGGACAGAAGCCCAGCCAGAAGAGGTGAAGTGGAATCAACCACAAGAAAGGTATTAATAGAAAGGGAGAAGTATCATGAAAGAAGAAAAAAAAAACACCCTTTTAAGATAAGCCTGCAACAACTGTTACAGAGGACTTGATGAAAAGAAATCCGAGAGCCAATAAACTGCAATCAAAGACAATCAATCCTAGAGAATTTAAAATGGAGTAATCTAAAAATAACTGAAGTTATAAATAATATATATGCCTGACTTGCTTTTCTAAATTACACCATAGAGAGGCATATAATTGTAGGTTGGTAGACATAAAAAATTAAAACTAGACTGTAAAGAGTCACTTTCATATTAAACAGAGCTTTAATCCAAAGATAAAAATAATCAACTACTTTCCTGAAAAGCTGAAAACTTTGGAATTTTTTCTTAGAGTGTTTGTTAGTTTAAATAACAGATTTGTACTTGAAACAGAGTTGTGTTACAATTATTTTTGGGGTAAAATGCTAACAAGAAAAATGGAATGTTTTAAGAAAGTTGCAAGAATCTGGTATAACTTACCTCTGATCCTAAACAACTATCTGCTGACATTGGACAGAAAGAGAGTAGTGCTTGATGGAAAGCAGGAGACAACTTCCTGGAAAAAAAACACTGAATGAAAATGGGACAATACCAAAGAGTTAAAATGGCATTTAAGGAAAAAGTAAATTGCAGGTTATAATTCCCATCATCGCATGAATGCTACCCCACAAATGTTTGAATTTCTCAGCTACAGAAGATTTAAGCTCACTTCACTGGAGAATCATACAGGGAAAAAGGAATAGCAATAGCTACTGATCTTAAAAGAGCTTGATATTATGTGAATGAATGTCTTAAAAATGTTATTGGATTAAACCTGAAGTTGTATGACAGGTCAATGACTATAGAAAGTGCTTGCTTGCAAAACCTGAAATGAGGATTTTTTTTTTTTTTCTTCCTGAATTCTTTAAGGTCCCAGAAAGGTAAAGAGTGGCTGTGAAGGCTAGCCTGGTATGTTGCTGAGAAGTTCTGCAGATCTATAACATGATAATGATAACCCTTAATGTCAGAAACCCACACAAAAGAAAAATTAAAAATAAATTAAGGAGAGACTCACTCAACATTCACATACATTTTAAAGGATTTTTTGTAATTGAAAATATTAGCCTATTTATGTTTAATAAAGAAAGCTAAAACATTTATATTTGTAAAATAACACTGGTCTCTATGTAATAGTATTCATAATATTGTAACTATGAGTTGTTACTTCATGTGCTTAATCTATGAAGAAAAAGGTTAACATCTAGGGTTACATAACAGAGGTTACTTAGTATACACCACAAAGCGGCCCCCAGTAGCATCTGATTTTGGCGTTTGTGTGCCAAAGCTGAAGCCCTGTTTGCTCATTACATTCCCCCCTCCCCTATTCTTTCAGCGGAGGGAGCTACAAGGCATCTAACTGCCCAAGCCCAGAAAGTCTTTATCCTTCCCTCAGTTTTAAGCTCCTAATCCAGTCAATTTTTACCTTCTATCTTATAAATCTATCTACATCTTTCCAATACAGAAAATTCCACCATTTCTTTCTTGGACTCTTCCAAAAGATATCCCATGAGTCTCCGTTCTTGCTACCTTCTAATTACCACTACTCTAGAGGACTCTCTAAAACTTCAGTTCAGTTCAGTTCAGTCACTCAGTCGAGTCCAACTCTTTGCGACCCCATGGACTGCAGCACACCAGGCCTCCCTGTCCATCACCAACTCCTGGAGTTTACTCAAACTCATGTCCATTGAGTCAGTAATGCCATCCAACCATCTAATCCTCTGTCATCCCCTTCTCCTCCCACCTTCAATCTTTCCCAGCATCAGGGTCTTCTCCAATGAGTCAGTTCTTCGCACCAGGTGGCCTATGTATTGGGAGTTTCAGCTTCAACATCAGTCCTTCCAATGAACACTCAAGACTGATAAGATCTCCTTGCAGTCCAAGGGACTCTCAAGAGTCTTCTCCAACACCACAGTCCAAAAGCATCAATTCCTCGGCACTCAGCTTTCTTTATAGTCTAACTCTTACATCCATACACGACTACTGGAAAAACCATAGCCTTGACTAGGTGGACCTTTGTTGGCAAAGTAATGACTCTGCTTTTAAATGTGCTATCTAGGTTGGTCATAACTTTCCTTCCAAGGAGTAAGCATCTTCTAATTTCATGGATCCAGTCACCATCTGCAGTGATTTGGAGTCCCCCAAAATAAAGTTTGCCACTGATCCCACTGTTTCCCCATCTATTTGCCATAAAGTGATGGCACCAGATGCCATGATCTTAGTTTTCTGAATGTTGAGCTTTAAGCCAACTTTTTCACTCTCCTCTTTCACTTTCATCAAGAGGCTCTTTAGTTCTTCTTCACTTTCTGCCATAAGGGTGGTGTCATCTGCATATCTGAGGTCACTGATATTTCTCCCAGCAATCTCGATTGCAGCTTGTGCTTCTTCCAGCCCAGCGTTTCTGATGATGTACTCTGCATAGAAGTTAAATAAGCAGGGTGACAATATACAGCCTTGACGTACTCCTTTTCCAATTTGGAACCAGTCTGTTTTTCCCTGTCCAGTTCTAACTGTTGCTTCCTGACCTGCATACAGATTTCTCAAGAGGCAGGTCAGGTGATCTGATATTCCCATTTCTTTCAGAATTTTCCTGAGTTTATTGTGATCCACACAGTCAAAGGTTTTGGCATAGTCAATAAAGCAGAAATAGATGTTTTTCTGGCACTCTCTTGCTATTTTGATGATCCAGCGAATGTTGGCAATTTGATCTCTGGTTCCTCTGCCTATTCTAAAACTAGCTTGAACATCTGGAAGTTCATGGTTCACGTATTGCTGAAGCCTGGCTTGGAGAATTTTCAGCATTACTTTACTAGCGTGTGAGATGAGTGCAACTGTGCGGTAGTTTGAACATTCTTTGGCATTGCCTTTCTTTGGGATTGGAATAAAAACTGACATTTTCCAGTCCTGTGGCCCTGCTGAGTTTTCCAAATTTGCTGGCATATTGAAGGCAACACTTTCACAGCATCATCTTTTAGCATTTGAAATAGCTTACCTGGAATTCCATCACTTCCACTAGCTTTGTTCATAGTGATGCTTCCTAAGCCCCACTTGACTTCACATTCCAAGATGTCTGGCTCTAAGTAAGTGATCACACCATCGTGATTATCTGGGTGGTGAAGATGTTTTTGTACAGTTCTTCTGTGTATTCTTGCCACCTCTTCTTAATAGCTTCTGCTTCTGTTAGGTCCATACCATTTCTGTCCTTTATTGTGCCCATCTTTGCATGAAAATTTCACTTGGAATCTCTAATTTTCTTAAGAGATCTCTAGTCTTTCCCATTCTAATGTTTTCCTCTATTTCTTTGCAGTGATCACTGAGGCAGGCTTTCTTAACTCTCTTTGCTATTCTTTGTAACTCTGCATTTAAATGGGTATATCTTTCCTTTTCTCCTTTGCCTTTCACATCTCTTCTTTTCATAGCTGTTTATAAAGCCTCCTCAGATAACCATTTTGGCTTTTTGTATATTTTTATCTTGGGGATGGTCTTGCTCCCTGTCTCCTGTACAATGTCACGAACCTCCATCCATAGTTCATCAGGTACTCTGTCTATCAGGTCTAGTCACTTAAATCTATTTGTCACTTCCACTGTACAATCATAAGGGATTTGATTTAGGTCATACCTGAATGGTCTAGTGGTTTTCCTTACTTTCTTTTAAAACTTAGATACCATCATGTTCCAAGTCTCTAAAATGAGTCAACACAGCTTATATGACTTAGTCTTAGCTTAATTCTCCAACTTCCCCTCCTGTTGTCTTCTCATTTGCATGCTTTGCTTCAATCTTCATAAATCCTTCTTAGTTCCCCAAGTGCAGTGTTCTCCCTGCTCCTGTTAGTCCCTCTTAGGGGGAAGACTTCCTCTTATCTCTTTGCCTGGTTGACTGCTACTTACTCCTCAGATATAAAGTTAGAAAATACTTCTTCCCTGAAACCTTTCCTACTCTGATGACTAGCTTAGGTACCCTGATTGTGTGTTCCCCAAGCAAGCTGAACTTCCCTTATATTACTACCTTTTACAATATTATAATTGCCTGACAGTCTGTCTCATACTGTAAAGTTTGTAACCGAAGGGGACCATATGTTTGGTTACCGTTACTATACTCTTCATTTGGGCTTCCCTAGTGGCTCAGATGGTAAAGAATCTGCCTGCAATGCAGGAGACCTGGCCTGGATCCCTGGGTTGGGAAGATCCCCCGAAGAAGGGAATGGCTACCCACTCCATTATTCTTACCTGGAGAATTCCAGGGACCTCGAGAAGATTGGCAGGCTATAGTGCATGGGGTCCCAAAGAGTCAGACATGATTGAGCAACTAACACTTTCACTCTTCTTTTAAACTTCATACTCTTCATTAACATTGCCTGACATACAGTTAAGAGCTAAAAAAGTTAGTTGGATAAATTTAACAATCATCTTTCTCCTGAGAGTGGCTTTGAACTATAAAGGAGATATATGGAACTACTAAACATTAAGAACTACTACAAATGCTGCTGCATTATTTTTATGACTAGATCTTAACCATATTAGATTAAATGCACTTTGAGGACTGGGCCACGTCTATTTCAATCACACACAACCACAAAGTTGTGGCATATGAGTAAAAAAATTTGCTTTGGGAAAAACAAAAATCAAATACTTCTCACTAATAGTGAGTACCTTTAAGTCTAAAACAAATTAGTCATGCTTTCCTATTACATCCCAACACTTGCTCTAATACTCCTCCATTTAATAGGAGGAGGAAGTATGACTGGCTCAGAATGCATCACAAGGTACGTGTGAGGATTAACTAAGCTAGCATATGTAAAGTATTTAGAACTGTGCCTGATATATAAAAAGATCTCAATAAATATTCCTCTCTTAGAGAATATTCTTTTTTTCACATTATAATGTAAATACTTTTTGTCTCTTCTACTAGGAAACATAATCATGATGGGCAAGGGACCCTGCTTTAGTCATCTAAGTTCAATCACTGCTATTCAATAAAAATTAAATGAATTAAGATAACATTAATGACACAACATTATTAATGGAAGCAGACACAGGAAAAAGGACTAAGATCAAGAACTAATCGCCATTTTAGTAAAGGCAACTATTGAATATCAAAACTTTCTACTGAATCTGATGACTGTAGAACACAGAAAAGGTAAAAAAAAAAAAAAAACACTGGGTAAAATACAGCACACAGAACATACATATTATTTATGGGTTTCAGTACTTAGCTAAAATAGGACCTAGTTCATTTATGGTCTCTTCCTCTTTAACACAATTTAACTTAGTCATTAGTTGTGATTTTTTTGCAGTGATGTGGACTCTGCTATGTGTTAAGTTCATGTCAGACACATAAAAATTCATGTATCTGATCTGCAAAATAAGAACTGGAACTCTTCTAGTTTGACAATGTACTAAATAGCTGAAAGATGCATTTCAAAACACAGAACACATACTAACCTATTGGGTTTATCAAAATGGACTGTGTTTTTACTTGATGGAGAAGAAGATGGTATTCCTTCTCTTTCTCTCCTGGGGAAAGAATGTGGGAAATTCTCTTTAGGAACAGTGGAATCAACTTCATCTGATTTTGAAAGATGGACATCCTTGTTTTCTCCCTTGTCCAAACTATGTATAACTGAATTCTTTCCACTGTCTTCAGAGTCTTTGTGGGGAGACTGATCCAAAGAAGGCTGAACAAAGTCACAAACTATAGGGCTGGCAAAGTGTTCATTTTTGAGGAAGTCCATTTCACTGTAAAAGAAAGAGAAATTATTAGTGAGGAATTGTATTTTTTAAGACTTTGGCAATAGCATAAACCTCATACTGGGTTTAATGCTTTAAAAGTATAACATATTAATAGAAAGTGGTTTGGCAACTAATTAATCATTTCTGTACCATGTATATTGATGCTTCATATAGAAATGTAGCCACAAACTCTTACAAAACATAAAAATGGTTTTATAAACTATGCATTGGATTACCACTTAGCCTTCTTCATGTGCAAAATGTGGAAAATTCCATCTAACCCACATCATGAGTATAAGAATTAAATGAAATAATGAATGGAAAATATGTATGACACTAGCACGAAGAAGCTACTTTATTACTACTGATACAACCTGAAGAAGGTAAAAAATATCTTACTCCTTGGTTCTAAGACATATATGATTTAATGATTATTACAGTGATTAACAACTTTTGGGGGGAAAAGAACACATTAAGTATATAAGCAATTGTAAGAATTTTTTTCCCCCAGAAGTATTAGGATATGAAAAATTATAGCTTGCCACTGAAATATTATCTTATATGTTTATATAATCTGTCAATTTCTTTAATAATTTTAAGAGGTTTTATAGAAATGATGATTAAGTACTAACCTTTCAAGTCTTCTGATTTGTTCCATCCAAGACCATTTCTCACTGTTTAATAAACTAATTTTATCTTTTAATTTCTGCACTAGCAAGGAGTTCTAAAATCAAAATGGGAGAAAAACAGAAACTCAAGATCTCATAGTCTGCTTTGACACGGCTTAAACACTTTTTGTGGACTTGATTATTAATAGCTCTCACCTCTACAGTCTAAGGAGTCTCAAGGGTTGAAGGAAGGTTGCCTAAAACTGGTGTCAGAGCCTCTAATTTGCCTTCTTCTACATCACTGGCCATGTCCACAAGGTCTTTCCAGTTACTTGATGATTTCCAAAATCTTGGTAGGGCTGTAGTGAGTCTGGAGGTTTTGGAATGTTTAATCCTACATCATCCCATAGTTCAAAATCCTAAAAGATAAAAAACAGTAGCATTAAAAAAATCTATGCGGCAATTTTATCTTGCATTTTTGAGATGTATCTTTTCCTTATTGCTAATATCTTGAAAACTCAACATAAATGTGTGATAATGTCAAAGTGTATGTGCCCAGTGAATAAACATCCTGGGAGTCAGGAATTGTCTAGGATTAGAGTGTGAGATGCACCCCCACCTCATACTTGCAAAATAAGGGAAACAGGGTCCTCAGTGGAGAGACAAGTTTTTGTTACAGCAAAAAGGATATTGCAGACTTCCCTAGTGGCACAGTGGATGAGAGCCTGCCTGCCAATGCAGGGGACCTGGGTTGCGTCCCTGGTCCGGGAAGATTCCACCTGCCCTGGAACTACTGAGTGCAAGCTCTAAACTTGAGGGCTACAACGACTGCGCCTGCAACCTGCGACTACTGAGACTCATGCACCTAGAGCCTGAGCTCTGCAACAAGAGAAACCAAGCAAGGAGAAGCCCATGTACCCCAGAGTGAAGAGTAATCCCAGCTCGCCACAACTAGAGAAAGCCCGAGTGCAGCAACAAAGACCCATCACAACCAAGGAATTAAAAAATAATAAATTTCTAAAATTAAAAAAGTATATTCAGAGAGAAGTTGAAAATAAAGAATGTTATTTACAATAAGAAAATTTCACATAGCACCACAGAAAGGAAAGATAGGAAGTAAAGGAAAGACTGGGCAAGAGGGAACCAAAAAACAGTAAGACAAGGATTATATGCAGATAAAAATATAAGAAAACTATCAGTAAGTGTGTATTGAGTGTTACTATTCATGCAGATACAGAGATGAACAAGAGATTCATTTAGCCTCAAGAAGATTATAGGCTAGTCAAGGGAGATAAGAGATAATCTTAGGTAACAATAGAGCCATGAAGATAAAATCAGGTCACTAATATAAATGATCGAAAAATAAAATCAGGTAAAGTCTTAACATTTTAGGCAGAGGCTAAACATGAAAGGAGTAAGGGCTCTAGGATAGAACTGCTTTAAAGTCAGTTGAAATGACCATTAAACATCACTTAGTGGTTAAAGAATAAGTAATGATGAGCTCTTGAACTGCCATTTATAAAATAGTTTTATTGGGGTATATAATTAATAAATAACAAACCGCACAGTATAAATCCAACTCTTTGTGACCCCCTGGACTGTAGTCTACCAGGCTCCTCCGTCCATGGGATTCTCCAGGCAAGAACACTGGAATGGGTTGCCATTTCCTTCTCCAGGGGATCTTCCCGACCCAGGGATTGAACCTGGGTCCCCCACCTTGTAGGCAGACGCTTTTACCGTCTGAGCCACCGGGGAAGTCTTAAATCCACAAGCTAATCTAAAACGTACAATCTGCTAGGTTTTGACATCTGAGTACACACCTGAAGAGATCAGTGCAATCAAGAAGATGAACTTGGGGGTTTCCCTGGTGGCTCAGTGGTAAAGAATCCGCCTACCAGTGCAGGAGACACAGGTTCGATCCCTGATCTGGGAAGATCCCAAATGTCCTGGAGCAACTAAACCTGTGTGCCACAGCTGCTGAGCCTGTTTGATCTAAGGCCTGGGAGTTGCAAGTATTGAGCGCACATTCTGCAGCTACTGAAGCCCACAGCCCTAGAGACCATGGTATGCAACTGCAGAGTAGCCCCCACTCGCTGCAACGAGCAAAAAGCCAGCACAGCAATGAAGGCCCAGCACAGCCAAAAATAAACAGATAAAGCAGAGGGGAAAAAAAAATTAAACACCAAATCTATGAAAAAAAAAAAAAGATGAACTGTTCACTCTCTAAAGTTTTACTGGCTGCTTCCCCCTTTCTCCTCACAGATGCCATGTTCCTCGGCAAATACTGTTCTGTTTTCTGTCACTATTACAAGTTTACATTTCTTAGAATTTTATATAAGTGGAAGCATACAGCAAGTATTCTATTTGCCTGGTTTCTTTCATCCAGATTATTGATTTTCAGACTAATCTATGTTGTTGTATCCCTGAGGTTCACTTTTCTTTATTGCTGAGTTAGCATTTCATTGTAACGATACATCAGCATTTTTTATTCAACTGCCTGCTTTTGGATACTTGGGTTGTCTCTCTAATGTCGGCTATTATAAATAAAGTTGGTGTGAACACTGTGTAGGAGTCTTGGTATGAACATCTCCCTTCACTTCTCTTGGACTGTAGTATCTACGAATGGAATGACAAGTCATATAGGTGGTGAAGGTTTTACTTTTTTTTTTAAATAGACTGCCAAAAAATGTTCCAAAGTGACTGCACCATTTTGGACTCCCAAGAGCAATGATGATAGTTCTACTTACTCCACATCTTTGCCAAGACTTGGTACAGTCTCAGTTAAACCTTCTAGTAAGTGTGCTATGGTATTTCATTGTGACTTAATATTATCTCCCTAATGATTAAAGATGTAGAACATCTTTTTTCATGTGCTTATTTGATATCCATATATGTTCTTTTTTGAAGCATCTGTATAAATTTTTTGTCATTGATTCATGTCAATGTATGGCAAAAACCGCTACAATGTTGTAAAGTAATTAGCCTCCAACTAATAAAAATAATTGGAAAAAAATTTTTAAAAAGCAAAAAGAAAAAAAATGGGTCCTCTGTTAAAAATTATTCACTTTAGAGAGTTCTTTAAATATTCTGGATAGAAATTCTTTATCAGATATGTTACTTGAAATATTTTACCTAATCTACAGCTCATCTTTTCATTTGTTTAGAGTCGCTTTCAAAGAGAAGTTATTGACTTTGATGAGAACACATATTTGGTGAAGAATACCACACTTTTGGTGTCATACACGAGAAATCTTCGCCTGCCTTCCAGGGTTGCAATGAATATTTCCATGTTCTCTTCTAGGAGCCTTATGGCTTTAGAATTTACATTTAAATCCATGATCCATTTGAATTACTTTTTGTATATGGTATGAGGTATGGTTTGAAGTTCGATTTTGGAGGTATATAGATATCAAAATGTTACAGTACCAATTGTAAAAAAGACTACTTTCTGAATGGAATTTACTTTGTGCTTTGTTAGACATCAAAAGATCATCTATGTGTAAGTTAATCTCTTGACTCTCCACTAAGTTCCAATGACCTGTCTACATTTATGTCAATAAGATACTGCCTGAACTATAATATCTTAAAGTCAGCTAGTTGAAGTCCCCTAATTTTGTACTTCTTTATTCAAGTTGTTTTGGCTACACTATGTTATTCCATTTCCATAGAAATTTTAGAATAAGCTAACCTCTACAAAAAAAGCTGGTGAGACTCTGATTAGGATTGCATTAAAAGTACAAATCAATTTTACAGAAATTGACACTTTTTGACAATACTGAATCTCATCTATGAACACAGTATATCTCTTCCTTATGTCTTCTTTATTTTCTTTCAGCATGTATAATAGTTTTCAGTGCATAATCCTTCATCATACTTATCCCTAAGTATTTCCTATATTTTTTTATTCTTTTGTAAATGGTATCTTTAAAAGTCGAATGTCTATTTGTTGCTAGCATACAGAAATACAATTCATTTTTGTTTACTGATCTTGTATCCTACAACTTGTCTGTCATCACTTATTATAGTCTTTTTTAATGCAGTCTATAGGGTTTTCTATATATATAATCACATTACCAGTGAAAGTTTTCTTTCTTCTTTTCCAAAATATAGGCCTTTTATTTCTTTTTCTTGCCTTGTACTGTCTAGATTCCTCAGTACGATGTTCAACAGAAGTAGTGAGAGCAGATATTCCTGTTTTATTCCTTAACTTCCATCATTAAGTATGATGTTAGTGATAGTTTTTCTGTAAATGTCTTTTATGAATTTGAAGAAATTCCTCACAATTCCTAATTTCTTTAAAGCTTTCACGGGAAAGACATGTTTGAGTGTGCCAAATGTTTTCTTCTGAGATGATCATATGATTTCTTTTCTCTTTTGAAAAGTTTCTTAAAATGGTGAATTACAATGGTTGATTTTTGGACTCATCAATCTTATGTTCCTCGAATAAACCATTTGGTCATTGTGTATTAGCATTTTTACACATTGTTGGATTTGACATAGTAAAATGTTATATAGATTTTCTACATCCATGCTCATGAGGAAAATGAGCCTGTAATTTTCTTTGTTAGCCAGATCTGTATCCGGTTTTGATATCAGAATTGTGCTGGTCTCATAGAATGAGTTTTCAACAATTCCCTTCTTTGCAATTTCTAGAAGAGGTTGTGGAGAAGTGGTATTACTTCTTCCTTAAATATCTGGTAGGTAGCTACAGTGATATAACCTTGTTCATTTACTTCACTTCTTCCTTAAAAGTCTAGTAGATTTCTACAGTGGTATAAATTTGCTCATTCCAGATTCTGATAATTTGCTTCTTTTCCCTTTTTCTTAATAAGTCAGGCTAGAGGTTTACCAATTTCATTACCTCAAATACCCAGTTTTTTGTGTTATTAATTTTTCTCTGTTGTTCTCTGTTGCCTATATCACTGATACATTCTCATTTTTAATACTTCCTTCCTTTCAATATCTTTGGACTTCAGTTAGTTTTCTTTTTCTACCTTCTTAAAATAGAAATCAATCTTCATCAATTTGAAATCTTTCTTTTCTATTCACT